GTCCATCCATCCATGTCTTTCTTTCCATCCGTGTCCTTCCTTCAATCCATCCATCAGTTTCCATCCATTCATCTCTGACCTTCCTTCTTTCCTTCCTTTCTCCATCTATCCCCTCCCTCCCTCCCTTCATTATCTTCTACAATGATTTAGCTTTTAAGTGTGTGTGTGCACGCCCAAAGAGGCATATTTCCGGCAAATATGCCGTTTCCCATTCCGCCGTGTCTCCCATTCTCCATTAGGTGAGCAACAGCCCCCTGTCAGAAGAAGCGGTACTCGGCTTTGAGTATGGAATGAGTATTGACAACCCCAATCTGCTGCCCGTTTGGGAGGCTCAGTTTGGTGATTTCTTCAACGGAGCTCAGATAATATTTGACACATTTGTCTCTGGAGGTGAGACTCGGATATCTCTTCTGATGGAAAATGCATTTACAGCTGATAAAGGAGAAGATTTGAAGCTCAGAGTTGAAACTGTGGGGTCCTGGGTGCTCTCTGAGCTTGGTAGTGTTCATGCAGACGTTTCATGACCCAACTAGGGAACATGATCAGTTCTGGAAGGGAGGGGAGTTAGCAGGGAGGAGGAGGAGGAGGAAGAGGAGGAGGAAGAGGAAGAGGAGGAGAAGGAAAAAGAGGTAGTTGTGGTGGAGGAGGACTATGGGGTCCTTGGTGCTCTCTGAGCTTGATAGTTTTCTTGCAGACGTTTCATGACCCAACTAGGGAACATCATCAGTGCTAGAAGGGAGGAGGGTTAGCAGGGAGGAGGAGGAGGAGAAGGAGGACCAGGAAGAGGAGGAAGAGGAGGTAGTTGTGGTGGAGGAGAATTGTGAGGTCTTTGGTGCTCTCTGAGCTTGGTTGTTTTCTTGCAGACGTTTCATGACCCAACTAGGGAACATCATCAGTGCTAGAAGGGAGGAGGGTTAGCAGGGAGGAGGAGGAGGAAGAGGAAGAAAAGGAGGATGAGGAGGGAGGTTCTTAGTGCTCTCTGAGCTTGGTTTTTTTCTTGCAGACATTTCATGACCCAACAAGGGAACATCATCAGTGCTATAAGGGATGGGGGTTAGTAGGGAGGAGGAGGAGGAGGAGGACTGGGGGGTCCTTGGTGCTCTCTGAACTTGGTGATTTTCTTGCAGACGTTTCATGACCCAACTAGGGAACATCATCAGTGCTAGAAGGATGGGGTGGGTTTGTTCAGATGATGTTCAAATGGTAGCTAAACAAATAGTTGTAAGTCAAGGACTGCCTGTATGTTATTTGGCAGACCTTGATAGTGTATCGTTATTGACATGGAATAATTTCTCCTCTACAGGAGAAGCCAAGTGGCTCCTGCAGAGCGGACTGGTGGTTCTCCTTCCACACGGCTACGACGGGGCTGGCCCGGAACATTCTTCTTGCAGGATTGAACGGTTCTTGCAGGTAGCCAGATGCAACTTCGGCCAGAATGTATGATAATCTTTCTTCAAATGTGTGGTCTCCTGCAAAGAAAACCCTCCTTAAATTTATCTCCCATGGCTGTGTGTATTTTTTTGTATACCAAACTCCTGGAAGGACAGGTTTTAAGGCAGGAGTCTCCAACCTTGGCCATTTTAAGACGTGTGGACTTCGACTCCCAGAATTCCTCAGCCTGCCTGGGAGGAGCCAGAAATCTGGGAAAATTCAGCCAGAATTCTGGGAGTTGAAGTCCACAAGTGTTTTAAAGAATTGGTCAACCATTAGGGCTACACTTAGTGTGAAATGTTGTGGTTTTCTTTTTCCACAGATGTGCGATAGCTCAGAAGAGGGGATCGATGGGGACCACATAAATATGTCTGTGGTCCATCCAACCACCCCAGCACAATATTTCCATTTGCTTCGGAGACAGATGGTTCGAAACTTCCGGAAACCCCTCATTGTGGTGTCGCCCAAAACTCTCCTTCGCTTACCTGTGCGTAGAACAAGACTTCCTGGTTTCAATGTTACTATTC